AAAAAAACGGTGGAATCGGTACAACCACATTGGGACTTTTCGTTTTACCGTTCATTACAATGGAGAAGAGGGTGGAACTGCATTTTCTCAACACGGCAATGCTGAGCCAATATCTCGGAACGTCGAGACTTGCAGTTTTCCCTTGTCGAACTGAAGGCCGACTTGAATGCGGGAACATTTGCACCGTGGTTGGCAAAACGTTCCAAAGCCGTATGCAGTATATTGCGGTGATGATTTACAAAGAACGGACCACATTCTAGTGCGGTAAAATAACTTGTATTGGGAATGCACTATCCCCGTGTCTTTGTTGTTTTCAGCTTGGACATACGTGTGTGAGTAATTTGCTAATTTCCCCCTAATTGGGATCACACGGAGAGGTAGTTGCGTGTGTTTCAGCCTAGCGATCTTGGGGATGGCATAACATCCGCGTTACTTTAATTTTTGCCAGCACTATTCCACTTTACCGTTTCTATTGACTTCCGGCTACGAATCCCATTCCTGTTTTTTCAACTATTTGACCCGTGTCATGCGGCGTAGACATTTAACTTATCAATGTCAACTTTAGGCCCGGTAATCCGAACGTGTGACAGATGGAAACAGAAATCATGCTGACAAGCCCACCAGATAACTCACACTGACGTAACACCACGGGGTCGTTGGACAAAGGAACTACCGTTATTCTATCATCTTTCCTGGATAACAATACGTTTGGATATCTCCACTCTACTGTTCGAAACGAATTCAATCAACTCTACAATTTTGTATTACGATAAGGTCAGTTTGTGATCATCATATGGATGAAAAAAACGAGAGAGAGGGAGAGAGCAGAACAAGATATTAGTTGGTTGTGAGATAGATTTGAGAAACCAATCCGATTAATGTGCCGAAATCAGATTATGAGCCATGTCTGGCTCACAACTACCGTCAGTGCAGATCCAACGGTGAAACCACAATAGTGTTTACGCCTACACATTGCTTCGGTATGCCAATTTTGGGGGTATTTGTCAATATTTATCATCAGACAGGCAAAATGGAGTTTCTCTGTTTCTTCGTAATTAGAAGTGTGACTTAAGAGTCCTCCTCATTCTGGTTACTTTTCAAGATCTGGATTCGAGCTGTCGTTGATCATGATGACATGGGTAGTTAGTTGCCAATCTAATTTTGAATATTCTCTCCCGCTGATGGTCATAATCCTTTTTTAATAACCCCTTATTTCCGATTGATGGATCGTGGGAACAGAGGTTGGCAAACACGCTTGTTTTCAGTACTACATGGATAGGGTCATTTTAGGGCAGATAAGACGTGGAATGGGTGAGAAAGAACGGAGGCTTCAGAACGAGCTGATATAATTGTGATAATCGATGTGCGTGGGTTTTGCGTGTGGAAGGTGGATGGAGGGGGTGGTTGTGAACGGGAGTCTCTGGATGACGATTAGATCACCAAGTGGGTAGCCATGTTAGGACACACAAACGCCACGAATGTCAAGTATCACAGTTACATCACTCCGTTTTCAATTTTTCATTCATTCTCACGTGCATCCTCTCATCAACTGTTTAGTCCATTGTACATTGCGCTCTATTTAGCCAGTCGACAAAGCACCAAAAACGAGTTGTTTTGCGACTTTGTTGTCATGCCCACCAGTATACATATTTCTCGTATAGCTTCCATCAAAAGTTCATAATCGTCCGTGTTTGATTGAATCACTACACCATGCGAGGAGTTACACTGCGATCCTATCGTGCCTAATGGTGTGATCTTGCGAGGAGAATATAGTTTTTGGTTGACACTCTTTGTGCAGGTCACTGAAATCCGTTCTGTTCTATCCGAAACCGGATGAGAGATTGGTGGTGGTATTTATTGTTCGGTTAGCCCTAGTTACCAATCAACAAATCCAACCTATCATAAGATTGGAATCAGAAATAATTCAACTAAGGAAATCACATTTTCGCATATTTAGCTCTTATGTAAACGGACTGGTATGAGCATGTTATTCACTAAGTGTGCACGTAATGTACGATTGCCCTCTCGAACGCAATCCTGTCTTTTACCGCAGTATTGGTGATAACATTCAGTCCGGAATGAAAAGACAACTACCATCAAACAAACCGCGAACATTTTCGGGTCCCGGCAATCAGGCCAAACATGATAAAGTACGATCCAGGCAGCGCGTGAACGGCACGTGATGCGGTCGATTTAGTCATATTGTGTATGAACGACAGCCTGCTGTGTAAACAGCACCTGTCAATATAAACGTGTGTGTGCGCACACACACACACACACAAATTCACAAAACTATTAAAATGACAGAAAACGCTATGTTGGCTTGCAATGTGTTGGCCATTCATTCATTAACATCACTAAGCATCAAACGATATGGACTACTTATGAGTAGTCAAATGAAAACAACACACCTTACAATCCAACAGTTCTGCTCGCTTGTCCAGATCGGCAATGCCACGATTTCGGCTGAGCAACATCTGTTGTCCCCCATGCATATCTGAGCCGCGAAGTCGGCTGCCGGTAGTTGCATGCACCAGACCTGCGGAAGCCAAACCGACCGCTTTGACAGCCGCACGCAACTCATCGGCCTGCCGAGCATCGGGTAAAGTGGCTGCGGCGCCTTTACAAGTCTGACACATTTCTTGATATTCCTGGGAAGGTTCAAGTGCAAGAAGGATATGCAAGCGGGCAAAAGTAATTTTACGGTTGAACAGAATGGAATACAAATTAAGGAGAACAATTTACATGAGAGAAATCCAAATTTCAGAGTTGAAGAAAAGCTTACCTGAGTTAGAGTGTGAGCAAGCGGGGTGAGCTCACCCTCTGAGGATGGTTGTCGGGCACGGAGTTGAATGGCTTGATTTAGCTGTTCCATATGTCGAGCGATTCGTAACAGACGAGCCTGGTAATCAGCGAAACGGGCATCGACTGGAACTTGAATGATGTCCTCGGTCTGTGTGAACCGGTATGAAGAAAAATAAAGGAATGGACGGGTAATCATTGATAATCATAATCATTGATAAAGAAAAACGCCATTCTCAACTCTGTAAAAAAACATGTCTTGGCACAGCTCAGGATTGTATGTGGGGAAGGTGGCACGCAAGCGCATCAGTGAGGCAAAGATAAAATAATTCGATCAGCATCTAGCACGAATGAGCCAGATCTGTAAACCACACAGCAGTACTGCCCTAGCTGCTACGTAAGCAGCTCAATCTAGGTAGAGGATGGTAAAAAGGGTTGAAAAGAAAATAATTTCGTATTTGTACTTGTAACGATTGTTTGTATCGAACAGAATGCAGAGCTCTTGATTGTTTAATATAAATTTGAGTACAAGAGCCATGTTTGCAAATCATTAGCGCCACCTAAATTTTCCACTACTTTGTATCCTACAACAGTCTTTACATTACTCGTTTTCCCCTTCCTGAAGATTGAATGCACGATCAGTGAAATGAAGTAACAAACGATTATTAGTATTACTATCATCAGTAATATTAATACCATTGGACGAATATCTATGTAGACCACCATTCCGATTGAATATCATTTTGCAAGTTAAAATATTTATGCAAATTCGTAAATGCACCCCACTAGCCCTGTCAGACACATATGAATGACACTGGGCAACCGGAAGAGAAGCCCAGATTGAGGGGCAACCGGATCAGTTAGAATGATCTGAATTCGAAAGAGTGCACGAAATGACTTCACTGCATCTACCAGAGAAAAGGATAGTTCAGTTCAGTTTGTACAACCCCTAACCATGCACTTGCGTGCGCCGGTTTTGGTTGCTGTCTCTTGGCTGCCCAGTTGGATGAACATAAGGAGAAAGACAGGAAAGGTTGAAAGTAGGATCAAAAAGAAAATTTTGAATTTTGAAAGGATAGAATTAGATAGAATTCTGAGTATGTTAATTTCATCAACCGTTTTGACGCACTTCCCACCGGTGCGGTACGAACTCTGTCACCTAGCTCTATAAATGAACGCTGGACACACTCTATTGCAATTGAACCTCAGTATATATGAGACCGAAAAACATGGTGAGCATACAGGACCATTAAACAAGAATTGTCTATTTGCAACTCTGGATTACAACCTCATTATTGGCGGGGTATGTGATGTGTACCAGTACTGTCAAACACGAATAGGGTTGGAGAACCAGTGCGTACCTGAGCCAGGGCACGATTCAGAGTATCGATCAGCGTGCTCACATGACCTTGACGGGAAGCGATATCATCCAGTGCGGTGAGCAAATCCTCACACGAGTCCATCACACCACGAACGGCATCATCAAGTGCAGTGTGCAGATGCACGGCCTGAAACAAAAGACCGACAGATTAAAGACTGATAAATGGATAATAAACGGCGGAAGGAAGTTATGGGTAATGATGGTGCACAAGTGTTTGGGTCGATGTCACCGTTGTGCTTTGGTACATAGGGTACAAGGTTCGAATCCCTTCACTATCACCCAACTTTGGTGGCATTCAACTTCTCTGTCGTCGGGCTCAAGACCATACCCAAGCTGGGGGAGATCTCATATGGTTGGCCAATCCAAATCCTGAGGCTTAACCGATTTTTGTAAGTGAACAACAGGTCCTCAAGATCATGGAATTTACCTCTTCTGGTGTTCGTCACACAGAGATATGCAATAAAAGATTGTTTCACGAAGAATAGGTACTACACAGTGTGTGTGTGTGTGTGTGTGTGTGTGAGTGAGGGGGGAGGGTTCGTAACTCACCCGAGGATTACCACCCGCATCACGAGCTATAGTGACTAGTTGATCTGTTGCCTCGAGCACGGTACAGGCATGTTCCAGATAGATTAGTTGAGTGCTAGACAACGGGGATCGCGAGGCGGCCGCAATCGCACTCGATGTCAAACCGGGCAGATAGGAGTCAACCAGAAGTGCGGAATGACCCAACTGTTCTGCTTCGGAACGAGCAGCGCGACCCAATGCGGGCGCAGAATCCAAAAGGGCCCGAGCACTGGTGGCCAGTTGCTGAATAAAAGACGAAGATGAAAGGGGGATTGAGTAAGCCATCCACGAAATAAAAATCTATCAGGAGTTGCACAAAATTCTTCATATTTAATCAGTTTATTTGCTGATTAGATCGAATTCCTAAAGTTTTGAGAGTGCTGAGGTGCAAAAGTGATTCATTTGAGGACTAGTAAATGTAACCTCTCGAGAATGATCGACCCTTACGAGAATCGGGATATCTGATAGCTCTCCAGATCGGAACGGTCCGAACGAAATTAAATGAATCAAGATGACTCGTCAAATATTTGTTGATCTGTATTGTTTATTTTACATTTGTATTCCAAATAGCTAGCAGTGCTTACGACCAACTCACGGTGTTATAAATATAAAAAATCTATCGTCAACAATGGAACTGCAAATCTATTATGCGAAATGATGTTCATGACTAGTACAGCTTCAGTACTTCATCACCTCAATCAGTGAATCCTATTCATAATTAACCTAAGCACTATTCTCATATTTACCGGGAAGGTACCAATTTCCGGTTTCTGCTGCAACTATTAAACCTTCTTGTATTTGTGTGGGACTTGCAAGGTAAACTGACCAGTATTAAAAACAAGCAGGATAAAGATAAAGATGAACGATGTCAGTACAGCAAATGGGGTCGGCTTTTAAGCAGACAGACAACCGCCCCTATTAACGACAATCAGCCCCGTCAACCATTGTCCATCAGGATCACCTAGGCTAATCCTGAGACTACAATCAGATGACCTAACGTCACACACTTGCTCACGGTTTTCATACCTTCATACCAAATTCTAGTCACCCCATTAGTCTTCTCCTAATCATTGCTTGTCTCGAAATTCGATGCAAATGCAAGTATGACAAAAGATACAGCTATCATACAATATGCATGTAGGTTAAGTTTTCATTTTGGGAATGAACGCGATAACCTATTACTCGTTGCCTAACCTCGGTTTTTGGTTGTTCGAACGTCCCAGTCGACTCTGGCAATGGGGTGTGAGCATTGATGTTCCAACACTAATAGTCTGTCTTTATCCGTAGCCTGTAACGGCCATGCATATCTACCATCTGGGAGAACTGGCCGGACAGTTGCATTGTACACTCCATCCTTCCCAGACAATCGAACATGTTACAACAGTGTCATAGATAGATGTCTTCAGCCGGTAAATACCAACCGAGTCTGCCGTGTGTGAACGAATACCACCGCCTAGGATACGATACCCGAGATGTGGCTGTCTAATTAGCGAAACTCGTCCATTACCTCTATGACCTTCCCCATGAGAGTGAACCAAGAAGCTAGATCAACGGAATGGTGTGTGAGCATTTTGTGCTCGCTGGCGCGTGCGCACGAGAAAGAGAGAGAGTAGTGAGATCAACAAAACAAATCCGGACCAAAGACTGAATGTTTTAGGTAGGTGAATACATATAAATGCGTATATGGATTTCTCCACAAGATCGGGTTTCTCTCTCTCTCTCTCTCTCTCTCGCTCCTGATGACGATTTCGAAGTAGTGAGTCAGTCAAACTGGACCAGTTGTCTATGGGAACTTGACCAAATGGTGCATGTTTCTCCTCAACGCGACTGAGACGGATGGCGGGACCCGAAACACTTGTTTCTATAGCACATGTTGAACAAAGCCAAAACACAAAATGAAGAACCGAGCAACCTGTGGATTGAACACGAACCGCATTTGGTATATGATCCGGTTGTAAACCGGGGAAGGGGAGAAAACTGTGCGGATGAATGAGAGGAGAGGAAAAGACGAGAACGGGATGTGTACGGGTGAGAATAGGAGCAACTCACTTTTTGGAAGCCTTCTTCACTCAATTCGCGTCGTGGTTGCAAATGATCTTCCATGCTAGCCATTTTGGCCTGTTGTAAATCTTGCATCAGTCGAACAATATTGTTCAGCACACGTTGACATTCTCTCTGACCTGGCGCATGATCCCTAAATTTTTCAGAGGTAAGGGGGGGGGGGGCGAAGAAACACAGGTGAATGTGTATTTATGACACAATTGTGTGGGGAACATTCGTCATTCATGGATATATATATATATATATATATACCAATGAATCTTTACAGAATCGGCGCCAAAATAGCCATGGATTAACGAAAAACGTAGGTACAGAAACGGGGAAAACAAAACAGTGAACTTGGGGGAATAAAAAATTTTCCGTTTGTTTACTGCACGCCATTTTGAATATTTTCCCGTTGTTTTTGTTTATTCTTGGGATTGCATATAGGAAAAGATGCATTCACGCCGCTAACTTCGGTTCGGTGCCATATCCCACCATGTGTCCAGTCGACTTTTCGATCATTATTGCCAAATGTAGATAAATGTGTGGATGTTTTTTTAGCTTTATCAAACTATTTTGAGCAATCAGCCTGTACTTTCTGTTAATGGTAATACCATCCCCAAAGCTAACTCTGTGAAATATCTCGCAGTCACTTTGTCACACAATCTTTTTAGGTCCAAACATGTTGAAAACGTTTATATTCTGGTTCGTAGATTATCCTTCTGCGCTTTTAGGCTTAAAAGGCTCAGTGTTCCCTTATACTTTCCTGGTCTGAAGGAGAAAGACTTTATTCACTTTTCCAGATCTCTTAAACTTCTTTCTCGTTGCAGCTGCGTTTCAAAGACCGTTTTGGTTGACTTTATTGTGAGCAAGCATTTTGATTCATGCGATCGATTTATCAGCCATATCCTGTCCAATGAAGAACACTGCATGCACTCCCATCTCAATAAATCGGTGTCTCATCCGAGTACCCGTTCCCAATTTCGGATTCTTTGTCCACGCACCACCACCACACACAAAAACAGCGTGATCCCCTATTTTGCTCGTATCTTGGTCAACCGAGCAAATATTATTACTGACCTGAACAATCAGCTGTCACATTGGGCTTTTATCTAATCCGTTTGTTTTACATTTAGTAAATGTATATTTTTTAGTTTTCTCCAAAGCTTAACGTTTTGCTCACTGTAACTTGTCGAAAATGCTGAAAACTCATCCTATCGGGTGCATAAAGCTTTACTTGACTTGACTTGAATCTTTGGGGCCCCAGCCAGGGGAAGACAAGATACAGCGCGCATTGCATTCCGATTCAAGCTCAAGCTTGTACATTATATAACATAGGTCAAAAACAAAGAAACAAACAAGTAATTGTGATTGATAGTGAATCAATATATTCATCGGGGGGGGGGGAGGAGAGGGGTGGTGAACATTACACAATCACATTTTTTGTGATCCGTTGTGCTGATTTGACTTGTGACAGATTACGTTACATAACAGGCCCGGGTAGCTTAAGGTTAAGCAAAAGACATGGTTAGTTGTACAATTCAGGATGATGTATTCCGATGATACTCCCCCCACCCACTTTGACTGTAGTCTCGATTTCTTTGGTAAGTGCATTAGAATGACCTATCAACATCCACAAAGTGGTTAGTGTTAACGAGGTGTTCTACCATGAAATTTCTGACTGTTTTCTGAACGCTTTTTCAAGTCATGACGGATGATCCGCCGAGATGTGCAGTCTCGGTTAGGTAACATTACTACGTATCTCCATTGTACTGATATGAATAAACAATACGACCCGGAAGAAACGAGAGATGCATGACCCTATAGACTGGAATCGGAGAACGAGGCCGAAATATCAACAGACCATGGCCGGCAAAAAAACGGGAACAATTTTTCCCCTCTATACAATCTATTGTGTTAGGACGCCGTCATAAGACCGAACTACCGGTTGAACCGTTTATAGATTCCAAACTCTTTAGATTGGCCCCATGCGTGCCCATCTAATGCTAAGACTCGGAGGCACAGTGGGCACATCACAAGGAAAACAATCACAGTGAGCTTTAAGGGGAAATCCGAAGGCGTTCTCAAAGCGACAAATTCTGCGGAGCGAGTGGCGTGAGTTCCTCCCGGAAAGAAATGACAACTTTTATACAGCTCATCATCCAACGTTTTTGGTTGGGTTGGAAAACAGGTACAGTGATATGCGATGGGTATCGCAAACAGGAGACACCTGGGAATATTCGGGATTGAGAAGAAGGACTAAACAGATGGGAAAGATGGTTGTCCAAATGGGTACCTAAGACTTTAGGGCACGGCATACTTCGCGGCAGCCCAAACCGACGAAGGGGTTTTTCTTTGGGAACCCCAACCGGAGCCTTCGACTCAAAAGTCTGACCCACAAGGCAGTGGGGCGTAAATCCAACGCGGGAGCGTGAACGAAGCACCCGTGTGGGA